GCAGCCTTTCACGCTCATCACGTCGGTCAGTTGGCGATTTGCCGTCGGAGGAAGAGCTTGGAGCTAAAACATGTTGCGAAAGGCCTCTGCGGACGTTGTGGTGGTTGGAGCAGGGGTGGCAGGCTGTTCGGCATTCTACCACTTAGCTCGCTTAAATGGTCGTAATCCTGGTTTCAAGCCGCTGCTAGTGGATGCTCTGCCTCCATTGTCACTAACCAGTGCGAACGGTTCTTTTAGCTACCGCAACTGGTTCCCAAGTGATGCTGAGACGCCCATGAGGGAGCTTGTGGTACGCTCGATCGACGAGATGGACGACATCTGCAAGCAGACGAACAACGCTCTGGGCTTGAATCGCAACGGATATCTGTTTGTGACTCGGGATGCCGGAAAGATGGAGGAGCTTAAGCGGCTAGCAAAGAACCTGGAGCGTCATGGAGGTGGAGAGTTGCGTGTTCACGAGCCAAACGACAGGCTCAGTGGCTACCGGCTCTCAACCGAGGAGATGCAGTACGATCTGGACGGCAGTGACTTGCTAATTGGCATGGATAATGTTGCAGCTGTCTTCCCTGATCTCAAGGATTCAAATGCTTTGGCTGCATTGCATGTGCGACGCTGTGGATCGCTAAACCCTGTAAAGGTGGCCAACTATGAACTCAATAAAGCAGTTGAGTACTGTCCGAAATCGGAGGTGCTCCAGGGCAAGGTCACGGACTTTTCAGCTACTGGTGGCAATGTGAGTGGCGTCAGAGTTGCGATGAATAATGGAGAAACGTTAGAAGTAGCGACTCCTAACGTGGTGTTCGCAACGGGGCCGCTGTTCGAAAACACGCTGAACATGTTAAAGCAGCGCAATATGTCTAGCTACGACGTGCCCATTATCAATGAACTCCACTGTCGTGCTATTGTCGACGATGTGGATCGTGTCTTGCCGCCTACGATGCCGCTGACATTTGATTCGGATCCGATGGGAAAGCTCGAGGTGCGTCGTGAAAGATAAATAATAGAAGATCCCATGTAAGAAGCCCACGTGACTTTGTTCTGTTGCAGATGTCGGAAGAAGATCGTAGAGAAATTATGGCAGACCCATCGGCCGCTCGGATGCTGGAAGAATACCCAGGAGGAGTTCATGTGCGTCCATACAATGGGGATAAAATGATGGCTGTTTGGACGTACGATATCGAGTCTGTACCGGCACACTACCCTGTTGAAGACGTATTGGACAGAAGGTAGGGTACTTAGTTGTGGGAGTACAAACTAGTAGCTGACTCTTCCGTTCGTCATGCTCTAGATTTCCCGAAGTCTGCGTTCGTGGCCTTACCAGGATGTTCCCTCAAGTAAAGTCGTATCTGAAGCGGTCTGAAGTACGCGACTCTTTCTACGTTAGTGGCGGCTACTACTGCAAGACACTGGACAACCTGCCACTCATCGGACCAGCACCAAGCACGATTGGCGGCGTGTTTCTACAGTCCGCTATGACTGGTGTCGGTCTCATGTCTAGCGCAGCGTCGGGGCACTTGCTTGCTACTCACGTCATGGGCGAGAAACTGGAGGGATGTGGCCTTGCTAACCACGTGGACGCATTCTTGCCAAGCCGATTCGAAGACCAAGCATATCTAGACTACCTCAGTGATGGATGTGGTGCTGCATGTGGACAAGTGTGATAGTTCTGCGTAGAGAAATACGTCAAAATGGCCGACTGTGAGTAAGAAAGAGTAACGAACACGTATCGCGAGCGAAGTCAACGTAGCTGCCATTTCTTTTTCTATGCAGGGAATGTCGGCATCAATTCCTGCTGCTTGGGAGGAGGAGATTCCTGGAAGTACTCATGCGCCAGTGCGTCCTTGGCCGAAATACGCTTACGTGGGCTGAGAGCCAGCATCCGACCCAACAGGTCAAACCCTGCCTTAGATAAAGAACACCCGCTACCCGAGAACGTAGCAGCCAGTGGGAACTTGCCTCGCAGTCGAGAGTACTTCGGCCATTTACCGCGCACACTCACACTTGCGTCTGGCACGTCCTCGTCGACACCTGGCCAGTTCTCCTCATTCGGTGCCCCCAACAGCTTAAAGATCTGGTCAGTCTGGTCGAGCTCTCCCCGTCCAGCAAACAGTGGCTTCATCAGCAACATCTCGGCGAAAATACAGCCAACCGACCACATATCGACTGCCGTCGAGTAGTTTTTTGCGCCAAGTAATAATTCCGGTGAGCGATACCATAGCGTCACCACGAGCTGTGTGTAGGTTCTCAATGGTGAGCCATACTTGCGCGCAAGACCGAAATCGCAGATCTTCAGCACGCCGCGTGCATCGTACAGCAAGTTGCTGGTCTTTAGATCTCGGTGAATGTACCAGCGGTCGTGCATAAAAGACACAGCGCTCAGCAACGAGTGCAGTAAGTATTTAACCTCGGACTGCAGCCATGGAGCTTTCATTTTAGTCTGCATGACGTGCTTAAGGTCGTTCTCAGCGTAGTCCATGACCATGTAGATCTTGTCGGGCGTGGACCCCACTACCATTTCTCGCACTTGAACGATGTTGGGGTGATCCAGAGCCAACAGCACGTTGGTTTCGCGTAGAGCCGTGATGGGGAAGCCTTCCTGGCTGACGTCTGCACTCATCTTGACCTGTTTAAGGGCTACTATATCCCCTGTTTCCTTGTCCCGCGCCTTGGAAACGACGCCGTACGTGCCCTCATCGATTTTGCCGATACGTGCGTAGCAGTCGACACTACGGCAGCCCAAAAGGTAGAAATTGTGTCTCGATGGGTCGTCTGGAATAGCGATTGTGTCGGCTGTAGGGAGTTTAGAAGCGTCGGGGGTGTCGCAACTTGAAGACGGCGTATCGGTGGAGTTGGGCATAAGATCAATGCAGCTGGAAGTCTTCTTCTTACGCTGTGAGACGCGATCATCGCCGGAGTCCGAGTCTGAGTCCCAGCGGTTCCGCTTCGCCATCCTATTCGAATGGAAATGGTGTGAGAAACATAATTGGTGTTTTAAACAGACAAGCCGGCTTCTTATTTTATTGTTTCTACTCGAATGATTCAAGTTGAATCGCTCTACCTAGACAGCTCAATGTGTCGCTTACTTTGTCGATCGCAAGAGCGTCGTAAGAACCACGGCAGACGCTGCAACTGCTGCAGCAACCACCAAGCCAGTTCGAGACTGCTTGCTGGGGTTGGCCATCAGACGTGTGTGGTAGTCGAATGTGGCGAAAGGACAAGCGGGCGGCGGACTCTGCGTTGAGCTGCCAGCACTGATGTCCTGAGTGGGGCCAAAGTACTCGTAATGCAGCTGAGTTGCAGGGACAGACCACTGCTCACTGAGCGATTTAAACACTGCCGTCATGAACCCAGCAGGACCACAGAAGTAAAACTCGCAGTCCTTCGACAGCAGGAGCTTCTCGAGCTGGTTGAGGTCGAGCTTGCCGTAGACCGTGTGAGCAGTGACGAAGTCGTTCTTCTTGGCGATACTCTCGATGTGCTCGCCAAATGCGCGGACGCTGGGATTGCGAGCGTATTGCACGAAGATCACAGGTTGTTTCTGCGCAGACGATGCCACAAGATGCTCAAGCATGCTCAGCAATGGGGTGAAACCTACACCGCCACTGATGAGCACGATCGGCTTGGTGGACGGCTCGAGGTAGAAGTGGCCGCATGGAACTCCCACATGCAGGATGCTACCGACGTGGACGTCGTTGTGCAAGTGTGACGAGACCACGCCAGCCGGGGCGCCATTGACAGCGTTGCCAGGCTCCTTCTTGACGGAGATGCGGTAGAAGTTCTGTCCCGGAGCAGACGATACACTGTAGTTGCGCACAATGGAACGACCGTTCTGAAGGTTGTCAAACTTGAGCGAGAGGAACTGGCCAGGCTGAAATGTCATGAGACCCTTTGACGGGTCGGTGCTTTCGAGGTAGAACGAGGTGACCTCGTCGCTCTCCTTGACCTTTCGAGCCACTCGAAGTTGGCGGAACCCAGCCCAGCCACCAGGCATATTCTCGATCTCGTCGCGCATATTGTCTTCTGCCTGGATGAGGAGGTCAGCCAGGAACCAGTAGGCTTCCTTCCACGCGTCAATGATCTCGTCGGTAGCGGCGTCTCCTAAAACAGTCTTGATAGCGCGGAGCAGACATCCACCGACAATCGGGTAGTGTTTGGCACGGATGTCAAGGCTCACGTGCTTGTGTACCATACGCGGGACGGCATCACCGAGGTTGCCGAGTTGGTCGCAGTTGGCAGCGAAGCCGATGACAGCATTGGCGAGCGCAGTGGCCTGACGAGAAACGCCGGGGGGAGCTCCTCCCTTGGTGGCACCGGCCACTCGGTGGTGGGACATATTGAAGAGGTTTTGCACCTCCGGAAACTCGGAGAACATGGTGCCATACATGGTGGAGGTGATCTCGGTGCCGTGCTCCTGGACGACGGGTGCAGTAGCCTTGAGGATGGCGATGGTCTTGGCGGACATGGGTTTGGGTCCGGCTGTGGTCTTTATAGCAGTCGCGGCGGCAGTCTGTTGGTTGGGAGCCATTGCTGCGATTGCTGACGTTTGCTCGATGCGAATCGATGCGGTGTTGCTTGGGTTGTGGTTGCTGTGGCGAATTGAGTAGTGAGGGTTGGCCGCGTCGGACGCATAGGTTGGACTTGTCGGTGGGGGAGGCTTGTCGGGGGCATAGCCACGCAGACGCGTCCTGTTCCGATGGCCGTCGGGAACCGCTGGAATGGCGCAGGTCGCGAGCGAGGTCACTCATCGTCCATATTTCAATTTCGCTATTCAGCTCGAAACGAACCAATCACAGCGCGCGGGTCAGCTCCACTTCAAGTCACTCATACGGTCGCAAAGACAAGGAAAACAGTGAGTTATCCAAAATTACCTGCTTGTGTCTATGAGGAGAAAGTAACAACACACGTCACTCTGGTGTTGGCACACAGTTTTTGCCAGCAAACCAGGGGTCAACGCACCGAGATCATCCTGTCGTAGATGGCACCTTTGGGATGAAACTCACGGCGCCGTATGCGCCCTCGTCGATTTTGCCGATGTGCGCGTAGCAGTCGACTCTATCTGGCAGCTCAAAAGATATAAATTGTGTCGCGGTGTCACCGACACTCACCACCGGTCAGTGTCCGGAGCGGCGATTGCGTTATACTATAATATGTAGTGAGTTTAGAAAACGACAGAAGAATTACGATTTCAAGAAGAGATATCGAACGCTTGAAGGGAACTTCACTGCAGCTGAAAGCCTTCTCGGTCACTTTATCGCCAACGTCCGAGTTCCAGGAATTCCATCGGGCATATAATAAGATTAGAAATACATGTTTGACATGTGGTGTCAAATTAAAAAGCTTCAGCTTGCCAACAAGTGTTCAAAAACGAATAAATCACGTATTGACACATAAAGCCTTACATGTACCTGCCAACTACAATGTGCGCGTCTGATTTTCAAGGTGTCGCCTACCTTCTCGATCGCAAGAGCGTCGTAAGAACCACGGCAGACGTTGCAACTGCAGCAATCACCAAGCCAGTTCGAGACTCCTTGCTGGGGTTGGCCATCAGACGTGTGTGGTAGTCGAACGTGGCGAAAGGACAAGCGGGCGGCGGACTCTGCGTTGAGCTGCCAGCACTGATGTCCTGAGTGGGGCCAAAGTACTCGTAATGCAGCTGAGTTGCAGGGACAGACCACTGCTCACTGAGTGATTTGAACACTGCCGTCATGAACCCAGCAGGATCACAGAAGTAAAACTCGCAGTCCTTCGACAGCAGGAGCTTCTCGAGCTGGTTGAGGTCGAACTTGCCGTAGACCGTGTGAGCAGTGACGAAGTCGTTCTTCTTGGCGATACTCTCGATGTGCTCGCCAAATGCGCGGACGCTGGGATTGCGAGCGTATTGCACGAAGATCACAGGTTGTTTCTGCGCAGACGATGCCACAAGATGCTCAAGCATGCTCAGCAATGGGGTAAAACCTACACCGCCACTGATGAACACGATCGGCTTGGTGGACGGCTCGAGGTAGAAGTGACCGCATGGAACACCCACATGCAGGATGCTACCGACGTGGACGTCGTTGTGCAAGTGTGACGAGACCACGCCAGCCGGGGCGTCATTGCCAGCGTTGCCAGGCTCCTTCTTGACGGAGATGCGGTAGAAGTTCTGTCCCGGAGCGGACGGCACACTGTAGTTGCGCACAATGGAATGACCGTTCTGAAGGTTGTTAAACTTGAGCGAGAGGAACTGGCCAGGCTGAAATGTCATGAGACCCTTTGACGAGTCGGTGCTTTCAAGGTAGAACGAGGTGACCTCGTCGGTCTCCTTGACCTTTCGAGCCACTCAAAGTTCGCGGAACCCAGCCCAACCACCAGGCATATTCTCGAGCTCGTCGCGCATATTGTCTTCTGCCTGGATGAGGAGGTCAGCTACTGTACTAAAATAGCGGTCAAATTTACGGGATTTAAAATGGCGTAAACGCGAGAGGAAGTACATGTATCTTATCTGAGTGGATGTCCTCTTAGATTTTTCACAAAGGCTTCTTATCTTAAAAAGTGCAAGTGTAACATTTGGGATAGGATCGCTATTAATACTTTAATTTTTCTATTCAGCTGCTGCACAACCAGTTGTGTTTACTTGCCAGACTCCCTTTTATTCGTACAGAAGCACGAGGTACATGTACATCGCCCATCAACCACCACCCCGCCCATGTGCAAGTCTACATCTACGAAGCCGCCATTGTATGGATCCGTTCCATTTCTTTTGGGGTGTGCCGACCTGTCTGCTGCTAAATCGCTTGGTCTCTTATGGGGCATCTCGGTGGACACTACAGTACAGATTTAAGTGCTCCTACATGTGTACTTGGACTCCTATTATACTACATGTAGGAGTCCTGCGTACGGTTTAGCTCAGGACTCGATGGTAAAGTGCTGTGTACCGGAACCAGGTTTGTTATAAATTATAACCCTCAGCGCAAACATATTATAATATATTATAATTAATATCCGGGATTTGGGGACTGGGGTCAAATTTGTAAACCCGCCGTTGACAACCCTGTAAAAGTCCTTGGTCGCAGTCGGAGCTATAGTAGATTGTCTGCTAAAGCATTTCTTTTAAATCTCGGCGGCGCAGTGTCGAGACCCCGCTAATCGAAGTGAATCGATGCAGTCGGTGATTTAGCTACATCAGACTCTCCAAAACTGCTCAACGGTTTCGCCTCCGAGACAACGGGCATTCGTCTGCATTAGATATTTGTAGCTGCATCTTGGCCCTGGGTTTCCTACAAAGGTTACAGGCATTGTTTGAAACGATGATGTCCAACAAATCGGTAAGTTTAAAAATTCCGAGCTTCCAAAATGAAGTGCTTGTTTTGTTCATGTTCGAAACACTGATGTACAGATACGTACTTGAAGTTCTAGTCAGTCTTCTACAGTTCAAGTCTTGAACTGTAGAAGACTGAGCTACTCCAAGTTGCGAGTCGCAATGCATTGCATTGAATGCAACATATGACGAGCTGAAAATTGTGCCCACAATGTTTTCCGCGGTTAGGTCCACAATCTCATTTTAAGTGTTATTAATACTGAAGTACAGCGGTACATACATGTAAGCTATGTGAAGTAGTAAAGTACTCTATCTGTATTAACTATGTTTTAATTACTTTGAAGTGTGCATGTACAAGTACAGTAAATACTTCACCTACCGTATTCCGTATGTGATTGGCGACGCTCGGTCATTAGCGACAAATCCAGCAGCCAATCAAATTGATTCAAATTTCGTGTCGTCGCGCTTTATGTGCTTGGCGACCAATATAATTTTGAGCATGTTATATACTTCAAGTAGTTTTTTTTATGCAGGTATCTTTTATGCTGGCAGAAAGGCTGGACCACCTCAAGAATTTGACTGTCGCCAATAGAGTAGTTTTTTTTATGCAGGTATCTTTTATGCTGGCAGAAAGGCTGGACCACCTCAAGAATTTGACTGTCGCCAATCACATAAGGAATACGGTAAGTAAAACAGTGGAATTATTAAAATACATGTATTTTACATGCACGCCGTTCAAATCCTAGGACAGTGTACTGCTGCAGTAACAGCAGTCTACACTGTACGGAATTTACGGCGGAAGGCGTAAAATCTCGCACAAGATACTCCTGTCCATTTGAGCCCGTCGCTTTGCTCACAATATTGAATATTGTAAGAAAAGGCGCGCTTTAGTTGTTGGTTCTGCAGACTTTTTACGGACCACTGGTTGCAAAAAATTGATCATTTGCGAAAATACCGTAAATCCCCGTAGACTCTACAGGGGAAGAAGGCGTGTTACTTTGTAACTTCCAAGCAGTGCACGATGCACTGTATAGTGTGCAAGGACTGAGAGACGATGATCACAGAACCCCCAAACTTATTCACAGATCGCACTTTCTGGACTCAAAACACTATACTACTGCAAGCTCCGCAGCATACCATGGCTTGATTCATTATCTACCCCCCTCCACCTCCCAGTGCGGCATCGTTTCACACAGGTGCATGGTGAATCGCAAGAATACACTGCTACTGCTCCTGAAACGCACGCACAACTTCACTTTGAGCAGGAAGTGGCTGCGTTTGAAATAAATGCGGAAGAAACATCTGCGGCACTATCCACAAAGTGGCTGTCTTAGCCACATTTTAAACTCAGTGTAGCAAGAAGAGTTAAGTAAAATTGATAATAAACAACTAATGTGGATTCATAGGATTCACGCATACTTGTACTCGCGCGAGTTAAGTTGAGTCGAGGGTCGTAAAGATATCAATGCCACGTCTAAAATCATGGGTAATACCTCACTTTCGGTATTGTAGATTTACCCGGGGTACAGTAACGGGAACTCACCTGCGCCTGCATTTTTATATCTATCCGGTTGATCTAAAGATTTGCAGTCTTTTTATAAAGCTTGAGTCTAATAAGGGCGAGCTGTGAATAAGTTTGGGAGTTCTTTGATTATCGTAGCGGGAGACTCCCGCAAACACTGTGCAATTGCCTATCCTGGTCCAGTTCCTGGATACAGTACGCGGAGTTACCGCAGGCTACGGCGCAGCGTCGACCAAGGCCACTCGTCACGACTACCGTAGGTCCTCATTTTCCCTTTTTCATCTAACTACTTACAATTAAAACCGACAAACAACCGACTACAACATCTTCCCATTATGCTGCCGTACAAGACCCTGCTGCTCGCACTCGGCTTCTTCTTCACCGTGCAGTGCCATTTCTTTGCGTCAGCATCCTCCTTTGATATTGCCGACAACAACCAGAACGGTGTTCGGCTCCTGCGCTCACCTGAAAAGACGGATGAAGAAAGAGGTGCCGTGGACGCCCTAAAGAGCGAACTTTCCTTTATGAAGTTGAACTGGGCAGCAAGGAGCAAGATAACTCCGAAAGAGAAACTTGTTGCGAAGCAAGCCAAAGAAATGTCAAATACAAAGGAAAAGTTATCTAAGATTGAAGCGAAACTACAGGCAAAAGCAGTCAAGGCCGAGCAGAAAGTGAAGGATCAAGCGATCAAGGCAGAGCAGAATCTGAAAGCAAAAAATGAGAAAGCGGCTCAGCAACTGAAGGCACTTCAACAAAATGAGCTCGAAAAGCTGGCTAAGCAGGCGGCCAAGGATGACAAGATGTACAATCGATGGCTAATGGCAGAAATGACCCCAGATGATGTCTACAAGAAGTTCAAGTTCAAAGAGCTCGCGAAAAAGGGAATCTACCCGACCACCAGCGTGAATTACAAGCACTACAAGAATTATCGGACCATTTATTATGCGCGCTACCCTAAACTTCTTGAGAAGCTAGACGCGTAATGATAGCATCGTTAAACTCCAGGATTCTACCGAGGTAACTCGTAAATGGTTTTGCTTTTCATGTTCTTTTTCTTTTGATCTGCGTGAGGCTGGCAACAGTTTCTTTTCATGTATTCCTGCTCCAGTACGACATTGAGGCCCATTCTTTTCGGCTGGGTACCGATCCCAGCGTCGGCGACTAATAGGGGCAGGTGTGCCGATAAAAATCGATCGCTGGGTATTTGGTGTTTATTGTGTGTGGCAGATCTGCAAACAGCAGCAGCGCAGCACGGTGATCTCCACCGAACAGAGTCTACGGCAGATGCCCGCGCCTGTGGTGCGCTCTGTGTTTAATATCATGATCGTAGCGATGCTGATTTTGGTATCTTGGCCTAAATTTACAATACAACGATTGATCCCATCTCGGGGATTTGTTCTCCGATCCCCAACTTTTTTTCTGGGATCGGAGAGCGGTACCCCCAGATTTCCTGTTTTTGCACAATTCGACCAACTTTTGTAAATGTTCGTGCACCAATGAAAAGCACAGAGAGAGCGTCATTTTCACAGAATACATAGAGCGGGATCTACAGCTACAGAGTAACAGAGAGAGCGTGATTTTCACAGAACACATAGAGCGGGATCTATTCTTCACGCATTCCACATGGTAACGTGCAAAAGTGATCCAGCCCTATGTTGATTATAATAACGGAACGCCCTATTAGAATCCGGACTATATCTAATAGTGCCAGCCAAACTGACAGAGAGGACTTTATTGGTCTGACTTTTTCTAGGCGTTAATTTCTATGTACAGTAGGTCCTTGAAACTCCTATAGATTCCAATACCGGTATCTCCAGCTTGCAGGTAAGGCGTGAGGTCACCAGGCACAACACACTTTGAACGCTTTTCGAAGAGCACTTAGATTTCACAGCCTTCGATAAGTGTGCTCCCATGCTGTCCCAAACCAAGCATTTACGTTCACCGTGCATCACAAATAGAATAGCCACATCAATCCACTTATCGAGCAGCCCCAAGCTCGGGGTTGGTGTGTCACGAAAAGTGGCCCTGACTTTGTTTTCAAAAGACGGTGAATATTTTCCTTTCCAGACCAAAAGAGGGGGCAGCTTTCGGCCTGTTGCCGGAAAATTGCTCCTCTCTGTATAATGAATGGTCAGTAATAACAGGTTTGGTAGTTTGTAAAAAGAGATAGGCTTGTATTTAACACTGCAGGTATGTAACACCCCACAGGACACTATTCGGAAGGGGGCTTTTATTCGGGCGATTCGTACTTGCTTTCATTCAAGCCATATTATACTATGTATTTGCCTTGAATGCTTTTTTGTTGTTGCTGGGCGTTGACGACCGAAATAGCTGCAGTGAAATCAAAGCAGGCAGACTAACTCTGCTGACGAATAGACGCGTGCTTGGCTAGTCATGCTATTATATCTGACGGCGTAATTGTACTACTGAAGCAAGTAAATCATTCCCTTTCGTTATACTTATAAAACTAGCAAATTTGCTCGCAGATACACTCGTCCATTTTGCCGGCAGAAATGTATCTGTCTGAGCTCAATTAAATTTGTACTACACGTAATTGTAGTACAATTTGCCGGTAGCATAGCTTGGAATTAAATGCGTATCGGCTACCAGATTAGTTATAAGGCTCGAAAGCAGCGTAAATTAGCTGGCAGATTTGCATCAACTAGCGCAATTCTGCCGGTAGAGTGAAACACAATCATTTTAACAGAAGTCGTGACATTACTTGGCAAGAATGGATACCTCACTTTCGCATATCACATGAGCTATGAAGTAGAGTCCTGGCTGAGGACTTGCTAACATCCATCTATCCATGACCAATAAGTAAATTACTCAGTAATGTGTTCCAAACGTTGGCAACTAGAACCGGATAAGTAGTAAGATGGTGGCCACTTTAAGCTTTACAAGTATAGTGCTGTAACGGGGTACGTAGCCCTGAGTGTACCCTGGTTACATGAAGTATGTCACGTCATACTTCGGGATATTTGGTACAAAGTACCAAGGTCGTCCAAAGCCAACCATTAGTTGATGACATTGCATTTCTATAGGTGACTTATGGTTTGTATTAAACCCAAGCTTTATCTACCTATATATTATACTCAGTTTACATTCTACCTTAAATAGGTCACTTCGCTCTCTTTTGATAAAGAGGGGACCTGTGAACTGCCGTTTACTGAGAGTTTGTATACTCTCGGAAGCTAACTTCCTTAGCGCAAGGTGCTGTGTGACCCCGTCGCACTTGGTAGCACTCGTAGTCAATCCACGCCACTGCGGGTAGACTACCTGAACCTCTCCGAAGTTCGTTGCCATGGATATGAACGACTTCTTTCGTATTAACGACTCTCCGTTCGAGTCGGCTCGGAAGATGGCAGGCATCTTCGGGATGGAGGCCCTGCAGAGCCTGGTGATGTCAACACCGACCGAGCAGCTCAAACGCGTCAATGCGTTTGACGCGTACGAGCAGGGGCTCAATGCGCACGTGCGGGAGAACCTGCAGGCTCCGGCGGCGGAAGTAAATCCGCCTCACCCGAAGCCAGTACGGCTGAAGTTTAAGCCGTATGAAGGAAAGGAAGGCGAGAGCCTTCACTTTTGGGTCCGAGAAGTAGAGCTCGCGATGGACGCGGCTCTGATCTCGACCGAGCAACTTCGTGTTGCTTCTGCACTCTACAACCTTAGCGGCCATACTAAGAGTTGGGGGATATACACGGGAGGCAACATCCCCTGGATGTTTCACAGCCTGGACTCAGCTGTGTGAACAGCTTCGAGCCGCCTTCCTCCCGGCGAACTACGAGTACCGCCAGCGTTCGCGCTTCCTCTCGTGCAAACAAGGGAGGCGTGAGCTGCACGAGTACGTGCAAGAGATACGGAAGCTCACGGCGTCCCTAGTGGGAAACCCACTCAACGAACACATCAAGATGACTGTGTTCATGGACGGCCTTCGAGTGGACCCCGCACGCACTCAGCTCGGTCAGACACCCTTGAAGAAGCGATTCAAGTAGCTCTCCAAGAAGAGTACAGTCATCGCCAGGCGAGTACGCCGGCCTCAGCGTGGCCTGGGAGTTCCTTGTCGGCTCCCGGGCGAACAAGCTTCAACGGACCAGTTCCCATGGAACTCGGGTCCGCCGAACAGCGTGACATCCGCTGCTTCGGCTGCGAGAAGATGGGCCACTTCAAGCACGACTGTCCCACGGAACGACTCAGCAGACAGTCTTTCCCCAAGCCCGTCCTGAAGGGTCACTGGCAGAAGCTAGGATCCCGAGGACAGGAAAACGCCGGAAATCAGTAGGGGCGGGGCGCTCTACTGGGGAAGAGCCAAGTCTTTGTGATGGGTGCGCGGGTGGCGCTAACCATGGGGACTTAGCCCCTGAGAGTCTTCGCACTCTCGAATCGGCGAAGAGCAGCGGCGGGCTGCTCGTAGTACACGGATGTGTACGGGGATACGATCATCCCTTTAGAATCTTGATCGATTCTGGGGCGTCGAAGAATTTCGCACGCCGCCAGACGGTTGCTCGTAATAGCAACAAGTTGTCCGATGCTTTGAGAGAAAGCAAGGGCAACGGGGCGGTGTCAGTGCGACTAGCCGACGGGAAGGTCGTCACTGTCCCCAACGTCCAAGTGGATCTGGCCGTCAAGTTTTAAAACTTTGACAGCCTCGAACAGCTCACTGTTCTTGACATGGATCCGTACGATGTGATCCTGGGTATGCCCTGGCTTGAGAAGCACGAGCCCTGGATCGACTGGCGAGGCAAGGCCATCGGTGCCAGCCGCCCTGCGCAGCCCGACAGAGCATTGGTGAGGCATGTTCCCACCTCTGTCAGGACCCGGGGCGCCCGCAAGGGCTGCCAGGGTACCAAAGCATCCGGCAGATGCTTGGGAGTCGTCAACGTGTATGACGACTCCGAGGATTTTTGATGGTGGCAGCGCCCTGAAGGGGCGCTGGTCAAGTGGGTAATTTTGGTCCACAAGCGGGTAACTTAGCTTCGCAGACAGCTGCAGCTGTCACGAACACCGAGAAAAGCGTGTTCAGAGTGGGTAACAGAGTTCCACACACGGTCGCCCAGACCAACTGAAGAGGAAGACGTCGGATACGATTCCTGTGTGGGTAGCATAGTGCCACACCCGGTCGCCCATATCTTAACTGAAGAGGAAGACATCGGATACACTTCCTGTGTGGGTAACATAGTGCCACACGCGGTCGCCCACACCTTAACTGACGCGGAAGGCGTCGAACACGCTTCCTGTGTGGGTATCATACGAGGCCACGAGTGCCTCGGATGTTGAAGCGCCGACATCCCCAGACGAGGGCAGCAAAGATCCACGCCACGGTTGCCGTCGTCAACGACGCCTCCGCCGTCTCAAGTCGGATCCGAACTTCGTTCCGACCGACGTCGCTTCAAGCGACTTGGAGTCCAGGGCCCGGGCTCCTCCGACAAGGCCGGTGGAAGAGTGTTATCACATCTTCGATGGCAAGACCGGTTTACCCGTCAATGCATCTGGTGTCATCTTGGAACCGTTGCCAGAGGTTGCAGAGATAATGAACCTCGAGGAAATGACGGTCGAGTCTTTCCTGGTCAACCTCAAGGCTGGAAAGGTTGCCGAGATGGTGCTCATGAGACCTGAGACCACTCGGGAGGAGCTGAACTCCTCCTCTGTCTTGGACGAGAACGTCCTGGAAGACCTCAACAAGCAGCGTCAGACGCGCTTGGGTTCTAAGATCCTTAAGAACCCCGAGGATTCGGTGTATCCTTTGGTGACGGAGTATGCGGACGTGGTGAACAAACACCCACCGAGCCAGCTCCCACCGGATGGAGGTGTACGGCATGAGATTGATATCGTGCTTGGCACAAAATATTGTGTCACGAGGCAATGGCCTCTCCCGCGCGAACAGTGCAAGGTCATTGATGCCTTCTTCGCCGCGAAAGCAAATGCAGGGTGGTGCGGAGTCGAAATCCCCGCATTCGACGCCGACTTTTTGCGTTCGGAAGCC